TAGGAAAGAGCACAAACTTGTCAAAAGTCTGTTTCTGGCTCATTCAAAACGGCTTGCGAGTGCTCATTGCAGCATGCGACACTTTCCGGTAAGAGCATTATGATGCAATTTTCCCCCGCCCTGAACATTGTAATGTAGGAGTGGTGCAGTTGAACAGCTTCGCGTCCATGTGCGCAATCTTTCCATGCTTGGCGTCAACGGCGCAACGAACAGCAAAGGGCGCGTTGAATTGTATGAGAAGGGGTACGGGAAAGATGCTGCGGGCATCGCTAAAGAAGCCATCACATATGGTAAGGGATGTCTGTTTCTTGAGTGCATTCAACTCAAGAGCTCTGTACCCAGCTAAAGATAACGACTTTGACGTTGTCTTGATTGACACAGCCGGGCGCATGCAAGACAACGAGGTAAGGAAATTGGCTCTGTTACTACCACGATCCTGATGGACGAATTCTTATTAGCCCCTCATGCGTGCACTCGCCAAGGTATGTGATGCGTGGTGGAAGTGTCGTTTAAGCGATTGATAAATTCCACAGCTTGTTGCCATCAATAATCCCGACAAGATAATATTTGTTGGCGAGGCACTTGTTGGCAACGAGGCTGTTGACCAGCTTACCAAGTTCGACCGCGCCCTTCGGGACTTTTCGTCTGCATCCGGTGCGGGCAAGGGGCGTGGAATCGACGGCATGCTGGTAACCAAATGGGATACAGTGGATGACAAGGTGTGTAATTCGCTTTCCGCAGCGATATAATCTAATATTCGTGCCTAGGTCGGTGCGGCACTCTCGATGACATATGTGACGGGCCAGCCAATTATTTTTGTCGGATGCGGCCAGGTTTGTTATTTTTTCAGCTGATGCTTGTCTTGACTGCACCCTGACTGTTTGGACAGACATATACCGACCTCCGCCAGCTGAGAGTTGCGAATGTGGTACAGGCGATCCTGAGCGACTGATATCTGACGTGTTTTTACTATCTACATATATATATAGGATCTGATCAATACTAGTACTGCACATTAACCATCTATGAGTTGGCAAGCCTACATTGTTTTGGGGATAGTATTGTACCATGGCAATAAGTTGAGCCTTGTACGGGACCACCACCGCGTTCAGAGAGCTATCCTAACTGTGCGGTACTTATAGTGAGATGGGTGCACAGCCAGTGCCTACCAGTACCCAGGTTGTAAACGAGAAGTACATTTGTGTTCCTCTGCATTCTCAGAAAATTCACCAAGTAATTCGCCTTGACTCTATCACCCCTATACGGCGCACAGATTATCCGTCGGCATCCAATTATATGCACCATTTCCCTTGGATATCGCTAGTGCAGACCAAATAATTCTTCATCTCACTTCGTCTTCTTTTCACTTCCGCTCACCATCATCCCCCTCGCACCCGATCGCCCCTACGACTCGAGTGCTCTGTATCATTCATAACACACGACGAGGCCAACTTAAAAACACATTGTATCATCATGGCGGAAGACTCATCTAAAACGGCCGGCGGTAACGGCGGACCGCTGGGGGTCAACCCTCCAGTGGGGCATTTGCAGAGTCGGAGACGCGGCGGGGGATGCAGGTGTCCCCCTTTCCTAGATAGTATTATTGTCCTATATAGGGTAGAGTCTTCCCGACAAGACATGAATTTTATTTTATTTCTATTTTTAAAAAAGACTAAAAATAATTGATGGAAAGGAAGACGATGTTTTCCTTTATTAGGATCGACCTGCCGTGGGACACTAAGGCTTGACCATGACCCGGCGTGCGGCACAGTCACAGACCTTGCACACAGTCTAGCATACTAGCCATAAATCCAACCAGCACCTTTGGTGAGTACATATTGTTGAGTTGATCGTACTACGTATTCAATGCGATGGACTTGAGTTTAAGACGTTTAAGGTGTGTGACATCCAATCCCCCCTCGGATTATCTTTTTTGAAGATGAAATCGATATGTTTCACGTACCCACAAGACTCTTATCATTCCTTTGACAGCTCCAGGACAGATCTTCTGTTTGTTACACGCATAAGTCCCATGATTGCTGGCGAACGATGGAGCAAGCTATCCCCGATGTATTACTCGTTCGTATTATTTCTTGACGCAGCGCGTCGTTATTTCCAGAAATACGAGAATATTACATCTAGGACTTTTCGCGACAGGTTGGCGCAATGGGCCCGAGAATGTGGACACTTATCAAACTTACCGAGTTGATGTTATAAATAGGTAAATGATGAAGTTTATCAGAACCACGACATGAACTAGTATGGGCACCGACACTTACTTTTAGCCAATATGAGTGCAGATGACTGCCACGACCGGCGACCGTGACTGCAGAGAACAGAATCAGGCGGATTATGTTAGGTTCCGTTCCGTTGGGTTCATGGTCGTGGCTCTAGTGCAGCCCAGATCGTATCGGAGGAGTTCTTTACTTTTGCCACTGAAACGAAGTGGTCAGCGACAACTTTTTTGGATAGAGGACCCTGGCCCCTGGAGTTCTGGGGCGTCATTGCAATGAAATCGGCAAGTGGCACGAGATACACTCTTCCACGTGTCAAACTTATGCTGTTTGTTAGGAGACTTAAGACGAATACTATATATATCATCATTTTCTGCCAAAGCTCTCTATTGCCCCATGGCAGCCTGCAGGCTTCTGGAACCCTCAGTGGGATATGAATGACTCATTTACACAGACTGGGATGTTTTCCTGACGCCCCGGAACATCTGGCTTCCGATGAAGACTTGTATCTCTTATAATGTTGACTCATTCATCTATTTCGACATAGAGCGTTAGCAGCCATCCCCTCGTCAGCAGGAGTGCTCCTGGACCGTCTAAGTATTGTAGCATCTTTTCTGCAGCTTGCCCATCCAATGTCAGCACACCCAGCTCTTTCACCCACTGGAACGCTGGTCGATGGCAAATCCAAGGAACTTGATCTTTCCCGGAAGCTAGTTTTGCTGGCCATATTCTGTCTTGCTCAGTTCTTGGATTCCTTCAATAACTCAGCTCTCTTTTCTGCGATCCCCGCCCTTGACATAGCCATGGGTATGACTGAAAGTCAATCTACATGGATTATTAGTGCATTCCAGTTGACATTTGCCTCATTCCTACTTATTGTGCGTGCTCATTCCCTGAATTTTGGCTCGCACTTTAACACATGATTTTAGAGTGGCCGTATCAGCGATGTTTACAACCCAAGTCAGTGCCATGCCCTTCTGTTAGATGGTGATACTGACGGGCTCACAGAAAATGTATTCATCGGGGGTGTCGCCGGTCTTGGTGTCATCTCGCTGTGTGTCGGATTTATTGATACCAAGATCCCGATCATCATCTGCAGAGCATTGATCGGAATCGGTGAGCATTCTCGCTTTGGCGCTGATTCTGGCTGATGTTCGTGTCTCAGCGTCTTCAATGACGATTCCCTCTGCACTGACACTCCTAGTCAATGTATTTCCTGATCCCCTCCAACAAGCTCGGGCGATAGGCATATTCGGAGGTTGTGGCGCGGTCGCTAACGGTGAGGAGTCCTTCGCGTATTTATTATTTATGACAAGCTTCATGGTTTCTTTACTTAGTTTTGGGTCTCCTAATTGGTGCAATGTTCGTCGAATGGGCGTCTTACCATTGGGTGTTTTGGTTTGTATCCATTGTAGCTATGCCGGTGGCTCTAGGTTGTTTCTTCATCATACCGTCACAAATTGCGAGGACTACGGACGGTCTTGAGCCTGACGCAGCGAAATGGAAAAGTCTTGATTTAGTTGGCGTAAGCATTTTAACTGGTATGAATATTTCAGCGTACTTTTGGCATTCCTCACGAGCCCTGATAGTTGCCCTAATCTTATTCATCTTCGCTGTGACATCCGGCTCCACTGATGGTTGGGCATCTGCCATAGTGTTGGTCCCACTGGTCATATCAATTATAATGGTAGTTGCGTTTGCTTACTGGGAAACACTCGTGCCTGTAGAAAAAGCTGCAATGTGTGTCATTTGGAATGCTCGCACTAATCATCGGCTAATTTTATACTAGACCACCCCGGACGTGGTCTTACAACAACTTCTCTGTTCTCTTTGCCGTCGCGCTCCTTCCATTCTTTTGGTGGAGCACGATATTCTTGATTTTTACTACCTTGTGGCAAGAAGTATTTCAGTGGTCGGTAATATCGGCAGTCATACATATGTAAGCTCTCCACTATTACTCCATGTCGCTCATTATTAAGAATATTTCCCTCGCTAGGTTCCCGATCGGTGTATTAGCCTTCGCTACAAGTTTCACGGGACCTCTTTCTCGCATCCTCAGTCCGAAATGGATTATTCTCACAGGTCTGTCCCTGTGCATGGTTGCCACTGTGCTACTGGCGCTCGGTGGGGGGAAACCCGAGGATTATTGGCCGTATATCTTTCCAGCCTTCTCACTAGGAACCACGGGGGCTATGCTGACTTATACACATACGAAGTACGTTTTTAAATCATCGCGGTTCCCTGAGCACATTTAATTGTCTCACAGCATTGCTATTTTCCAAGCTGCGCCTTCATCCATGGCGGGCACAGTTGGAGCCATCTTTAACGGCGCGCTTCAATGTGGATCCGCAGTTGGCCTCGCTGCTATCACCTCAATAGAGACGTCCGTGGAGGCCACCCATGGTGGTCCGCAGGAGTACGCCGGACGCGCTGCGGTATTTTGGTTTCTCTGCGGAATTGTCGCGCTTGAAATCATATCTGTATCAATCTTTTATGACCGCAGTACGGATCACAAACCCCAACCAACACACATCGAGCCCATGCATCCCGCACAACATAGCACGCCCTCTGACGAAAAAGTTTGATGTAACTATGCCTGAAGTAAACAAAAAGGAATTTAGTGTAGTTTTAATATTTTTGATGGGCTTTCAAGGTGGTACTCCTGTTTATTAGGCTTTCGATCACAATTAGAGATACAGATTGAATGTATCATAGATTAAGTTAAGTTTCATATTCTTTGTGGGGTATAAAATAAAATAAAAACATCTCTCTGGCGGGGAGTCGAACCCCGCTCTCCCGCGTGACAGGCGGGTGTACTATCCGATATACTACCAGAGATGTCTTATGGGTAGATATAATAAGATATGGGCAGTAACCGGTAACGAAGCACGTATTACACAGCTGTGACACGTGACAAATATGAGCGCCCATAACCATCTCCTTTAGCTGTTGAAACCCCGAAGGCGTCATAGCCAAGTGGTTACGGCGACAGATTAGAAATCTGTTCCTCTTTGAGGGCGTAGGTTCGAATCCTGCTGACGTCGGTCTTCTTTTTCTTCCATCTGTCCTCCACAGACCTTAGCAGCACATTTGTTACATCTTGTTCATCATAATTAAGCCTTGCATGACCATCACGGAGTTGTACATAATGCAACGCAGGATTGGACTAATAAGTACTGTCAAACAATATGACGGCACTTAAAAACAAAGCGCACAATGCACATTGCAGCGCCAAATAAAAAATAAAAAATCCAGATGCACGCTGTCACCTTGCATCGGTAAAACTGTCGTCCAGCATACAAGAGTGATTAATAATGTACGGCGCATGCCCTGGGAGCAAATGAGACCACTTCGGATGTTCCGGTGCTTCTTCTTTCCGGGCTGCGATAGCCGCTGGAAGCCTAGGCTGTTAATCCTGTGCAGGAACTTATTTATCATACTCCATGAGGACACCCCGATAATTAACCCGTACTGCACCTTGAATTTGTTCAGTAACGTTGGCGTTATGATATCGTAACTGGCGGAGTCTATGCAAGGTAGAAGAAAAATATTAGCACACCCCGATCAGCACTTCTGGCTCCTTATCATAGTGTATGGGCGGCATTGAACGTGTCCTGAACGTATCTTCCACGGTAATTAGCCTAGGTGTTGGTAGTGTGACTAGTCTCTCCTAGGAAGAAGGAACAATCATCTTTTTATTAGCCAGAAGCACATCAGGGCCAAACGTCTCGCTTCCGAGCGAATCGTGCCAGATCACATTGACTTCAACTGTATCTTTTTCTCTCGTCAGCGTGACGGCAAAGCGCATTCGGACACAACGTGAAGCATAAGAAAGAAGGAATGTCAGTTTTCCTTCTATTTGATTCGCCTCCGGGGGACTAAACCTGAAATGGCCTGCGCCAATCATGCAGCCCAGTTTGATTAATTTTCCTCCTTCGAGAACAAACGAGGGTCAAAGGTCTCGCTTCCCGAGCGAGGAGGGGCTGATCAAGTGAGTTCTGTCAACAGCGACGATGAAGAAAAATGATAATGCCGACATACCATCTTCTTACATTGACTTGAAGTAACCCGCGCGGATCATGCAGTCTCATTCGTAAGTCCTTGAAATTTTCCTGCGGGAAAGTACTCCAGGGGTAGGTGCGTAAGCATCCTGAATACGTAGGGGGTCAGACGCAGATTCGCCCATGGGCTGTACAGACCCGCATACGTTATGGGACCTCGTACATCAGAAACCGTTCCGGTGAAAGAGAGAGAGCTCGTTGCAACTGCTCGGCATTCCTTGGGTGGTCCTCGAGCGCACAGATGCGGCAACGATTCGAAACAAAGTTGTCAAATACAGAGGTGTACGCTAATCGACGTAGAATTGGCGCATTTCCAAGCATGGATGTCCATACGTCTGAGTGGGCGTGCGCATATTATGCAGATGACAGATGCTCCATAGGAGAACAAAGCAGGGCAGGAGTGGCAACGAGAAACGAGGAGCAGCCTAGGTATATGTCGAACGTAGTCCACTCAATGTACGCCCGACCCAGCACCATATTGGAGAGACGATGTCTTCAGTACAGTCCTCGATAACTACTGCAACTGAACGAAATGAAGTGCGAGCAAGACGCCAAAGTTATGAGCAGATCGAAAACGCGAGACGTGATATTGCGGATAATAAAGAGGATCATAATAACTGGAGTATGAACCATGCTTGCGGAGTGTCGATACGGACAGATGTTGCGTGGGTGCACAGATATGCAACTTGGACCGTGCGACACCAGCCAGAGTAGAGAAGCGGAACAAGAGGTCGCGAGCATCCAATAATCCTTGTCCATCAAGACAGTGTAACGGCATCGTCCTCTAGCCACCTCCTAACATCCTTCTTACTAACCAATTTCAAGACCCTCATCCTATCCTCAGGCGTGCGATCGCGATATAGACGCATGATATACCCACAGACACTCCATACGTCCTCCCAGGGTGCATCGAAGAGGTCCCACCAGCAGTTAGGTGATGAAGACGGTAAGGCTATGTCGAGATGACGGGATGTGAGAAGTATTGCAGCGCTGACTATCGTTGGGACGGCATACAACGCGTAAACTGGTGTCTGTAGGCTACACCATGAACCGTTCAGAGAGAGTGAGCGCAATCCGATGTACAACGTTACTCACGCGTCATTCAGATAGCCCCACGCTTTTGCACAAGCGTCTTTACGACTTGTCAAGCCGAGAACTCTCAGGTAATTTATAAGCGTTCCATATGGCAGAACAACGTGCACGTTGAAGCCTAATCTCTTGAGTATTTGCATCTCAGCCACGACCAGGGCATCCTTCAGATCGTAGAATGTGTTCCCAAAGTACGACATCGGGGCATATTTGAATGTTTCTTTGCCTTTCGACAGGGTATGCGCATTGCGCTGTAGAAGCAGGTCATATACATTGATGAGATCGCGCATGCGAAGTGGGCATTCTTCCAGCTTGGATGCAAGGTACAAAGCACCCATTCCAACATCCTGCACGATAAAATATCAGCTATCCCTCCCAAAATGAAACGTGAGAGCACCCACCCCGATGCCAAATTGCTTCATGGAGGTTGTGTACCAGAATCGCTGGTACAGAATTTGGGCAGTAGCCACAGCGACTTGCTTTCTGTTCCAGAGGGCGTTATGACTGAGTTAATGCGGGATTGGACTGGTACGTACTGTTTCAGTAATATGCCTGCTTCGTGAATGAGCTTGCAACCAAAAGCCCTCAGATCCTCTTCCAAGTCTGCGGGGATGCCATCCTCTTTTGAAGGCGTGCGTTCAATCTGGGATGTCGAGGCCAGTGGGACAAGATCAGCGGGCATGTCTCAGTCTGAGACGTTCAAGTGTTCAAGTAGCACTAAAAGTTAAAGTGCATCACAGCATGAATTCAATCTCCGCGGCGCTACGCAAACTTCAGTACAGTACGTGCTCGTTACGTGCACTACCATGAGCGGTCTACCTCCCAAACCAGAAGTCGGCAGAACATCCAGTAGCTGGCCCGAGCCCAGCGACGACAGACGCTACGGAAGCAGGCCAGCCCCAATGGCCCCGCCAGAACATTATCGTCCCCGACGTGACGATCGAGACCGCGACCGCGACCGAGAACGAGAACGAAGTTATCATCCTCCTCGCTCACCACCACCACGGTCGCCCCCTCGAGGGAGGGAGTCTACCTATGATTCTCGGAACGACAACTACCGCAGCCACGACTCTTACCACCGGGACGAGCGTTCTAGAGGAGAGAGAGAGAGAGGTGGAGGATGGGAGCCAGATCGGAGAGCACAGGATCGCAGAGACGACAGGCCTTGGGTGACGCGTGATGAGCAGCCGGGGAGGGGGCGGGGGAGAGGGAGAGGACGAGGTAGGGGCCGTGGATCGCCCCACAGAGGCTACGACAATGGTAATAGCTATGGTGGAAGTTGGCGAGGGCGTGATTCAGAGCGTAACAGGGACAGGGACTATGGAGGCCGAGGAAGGAGTCGGGATTATGACCGAAATCATCAGGATACACGAAGGTTTGACGATAGGGCTCCGGAGAGACCGCACAGACCTCCGTATTCTCCACGTCGAGGTACAGTGCCACGCCTGAATATGTGCTATTGATCCTCAACCCCTTTGCAGATTCGCGTGAGCGCCGTTCGCGTACCAGATCTCCTCGTCATTCACCCTCGCCTCGACGACACAGCAGGCCGCACTCTCCTGAGGGCAGCACTTATCGACCTTCATCGAGAGGTCTAGCAATGCATGAGTCAGACCATTCTCCGAAACCACCTTCAATACCTCGAAGTCACTATTCAGAACACCGTAGGACTCCGAGTCGTAGTCCTCGTCGCTCAAGGCAGCGTTCGTTATCCAGAGATATCAAGGCCGAGTTTAGGCAGGATGAAAAGCTTCTCTTGACTTCCCCCGCACACTCACTACGATCGCTTCACGCCCCAGATGAGCAAATAGCTCTGCCTACCTCTCCACGTGCCAAAGCTGAACCTGACGATGATCAACTCCATGTCCGTGTCAAAATTGAGCCTCTCCCTGACAGCGGACATCTGGGTCGTTCTCCAACATCAAGCTCAAGGTTCAAGGAGGAGTCCGCTGATCGAGATGCCGAAGGCGACTTCAAAATGCGTGACCGGTCCCCCGTGCAACAGTTGCACATACCCACTCACTCACCCAATCACGCTGTCAGTGCCCTAGCCAAGACACCCTCAACACCGATATCTCCTGCGCAATCTCTCAAGCAAACGGCGCCCGAGGAGCCCCCTGCTGAAATACCCAAGCCACCCACAGTTCCATACCTACCCCCATTCCCGAAACTCCCATCTATCAAAGAACGACTGGGCTCAAAATATCGAGAAGAGGTAGTTGTCCACTCCTCTAGCCCTACTTTTTCCGCTAACAGGCCTGATTCGCATCTTAACACAGCTCTCCCAAATCGAGGCCATGGAAGCCATCCGTGCACGCACTGCGGCAGAGTACGTCCAGATCTCCAAGGCTGTCCGTCGGGCATTACACGAGTTAGATCTCACAACCATGGACCTACGGGCTGCTCAGAACAGGCGTGAACATGCAGAAAATCACCGGAAAAAGGCCGCTGCGGGATTCCTGGATATTGATGCGGAATTCTCTGCAGCCGCATGAAGACACAAGCAGAGATCTTTATTTGGCGTCACGGATTTATTATGTAAGGTGGATTTCATGGGTGCGAGCCGCCGCTGCGGATACTAATTCTGTGGTATCTTCTTACAGGCGATGTGCGTCCGCGATGGATCCATAGGTACAGCACAATAGAACCCTTGCTTCTGCTCGAGCGTGGTGAGAAAAAAAAAAGGAA